ACAAATTCAGGAAATTCTAGCATAAGTTTACATTACCAAAAAAAAGGGGAGGGAAGACAGATTCATGCAAGACCAAAACATTTAACTCAAGATGACAGTTGACTGATTAGAGGAACTCTTCATCTGGTTCACCACCACCTTCACCCTCAAATTCATATTCCCAGATGCCAACGTCAACTACATTCCCCGGAAGATAATCAATCATTTGTTGAAATGGTCGCATATGCCAATCCAAACCCTGTGCTGAATCATCTTCCCGGGTTTCCTCAGGTAAGGGAGGGTGTGTACAACTCAAAACCTTCAACACAAACTTTCCAGAGGGCTCAAGGATTTCAATTCCAAATGGAGGAGATAACGGGTGTCCTACAGCTTGAACATGAGCCACACTGAAATATAGAGACAAAATGCATAAATTGAAACAATTTGCATATATTCTTGAATTTTTGTTATTCATGTACCTTCATAAACCAAACGATTCAATATTTGACCAAAACCAAATGAAAATACAGCAACAATGATTAAACAGATAATTAAAACCAAAAATACAAATTAAAATGTTGACATATTTACATGTACATAAGGAAAACAGTTTCTATCACATAAAAATGCAGATGGCATAACAAGAAGCATATTTACATAAACATAACATTCATTAAAAAAAAGAAAAAAAGAAAAAAAGATATAATGAAAAGGTATTCTTTATCTTTTTTTGAACAGTAACCCCTTTCCCGCACCCTCAAATAAAACCTAGAGGATTTGATCGCCCATTATTGTCACCAAAATCCCATGGATATCAGGCAAGCAAGAAAGGCTCAAAAATCTAATAGTGCATTTGGACCACTTAGAGGCTAAAACTTTCAAGTCCTCAGATGAATGAATATAAACAACTAATATTGTCTAAGGGCATGTCAATACCGTATGTAAAATAATCCATCCTCTGCTTGTACTTGGACTCTACCCTGCAGCTCAATCTGCAATATTCCACCAATGCAAAGAACAGGTTCTGGAAGCTTAAAACTCTGCAAATTATTTCCCTGTTAATGGATAAAATAATTAGTACCATCACTGGTTCTGAGAGAATTATCGATTTGCAGATCAAAAACAGGGAAAAGGAATAAGGAACTTATTTCAAGAAAAACAAAACTTAGTAATAGTGTCAAAGGGGGGGTTTTTTAACTTGAAAAAGAGAACCTTTTCAGCTTACAATCAAAAAGTGGAAAGGAACCTATCACAACCGAGAAATAGTAATCCATTTCAATCAGTGCTGGGAAATACAAGATTTCATTGTATTAATTCTCATCTTTAATAGCACAACGAAAAGATGAAGTCAATTAAGTGACA